ATCTTCATCGGACACTTGTCCAAAGGTAGGCAAAAGAGTATACTTAGAGATCTTCCGCGCGACAGGCTTGATTTCCCTGAAGTTCTAAAGCTCGCGATAAAGGCAGAGGCAGACGATTACAAGGACTAGGTGTGGAGAGGGATGAGGAGACGTGACTTCTCTCTCTACAAGGAGTATGCCACTGATAGATGTCCTGATTTCAAGGACTATCCCTGGTCGGAGAAGAATGAGGTCGTGGCTGAGGAAGTGAAGGAGATACGGGACATGGTGAAGAGATTAACGAGACAGATTACAGAGATTGTGACCGCCACAGGGGCCACAGCCTACCGGGACAAACCTGGAGGGCCCTATTCACTTCGCTGGGACCGTAGGAATAACGATCCTTGGAGGAGTGTCGAGGATAGAAATCCTCGGATGCTGATTGATTATCGTACGAGGGGGAGAGAGAGAGGCGATGAATTATGGCAACGTAGAGACGATGAGATAGACCGAGACCGCAGAGATCGCGAGCTGTTTGTGCGAGCAAGGAGGCTAGATGATTACCCCCAAAGCCCTCGCTATGAGGCCGATCGGGGTAGAGGCGACTCCCGTGGCCGATGGGAGAGGGACGGCAGATACGAGAGATCGGACCGGGATGGATATAGGGACGACAGATACGAAAGGTCGGGTCGAGATGGCTACAGAGGGAGTAGATATGAGAGAGGAGATCAGGACTGGGAACGACAAGGTGGGACACGCGGACGGTTTGAGCGCGGGGGAGATGCGAGAGAGCAGCGCGACGAGACGCGAGGATGGTACAACCGTGGGGACCGACGCGATGAGTCACGAGGACGCTATGACTCGGGGGACTGCCGGAATGACTCGCGAGGGCAGTATGAGCGAGGAGGGTCTGGAGGAGACTGGCGCAACGATTCGCGCAGTCGGAATGAGAGAGGGGGATATGGTGTCTCATCAGAACCATATCCAAAGTCGCCTGACCCCAACGCGGCCAGGAATTCGATGTCTAGAGGTGCAGACGACAGGGAGTCTACTCCCAGGAACTCATGCGTCTACTGTAGAGGAGAAGATCATATCAAGAGGGATTGCCCGGACCTCAAATGGGCAATAGATGAGGGGTTTGTCGTGCTTGACGACCGCAAGTACGTCAAGTGGGCAGATGATCTGGGAGATGTATCAATGTTTCCTTCGATGAAGGAGAACGTCGAAGCAAGGAGAATAAAGACGAGTAAAGGAATGAAGCCGGTCAGGAGCCAGAGTATCAAGATAATCTTTGAGGGGGATATCGCGACCACACCCATAAGGGTGGGAGCCACCAAGTCGGCGAGAGCGTTTACATCGAAGAAAACTGACACGGATTACGTGATGGCAGAGAAGGACGGGCAGCGGGTCGATGGAGAGGAGGTTATCCTTTCRCCTCGAAAGCGGGGAGTGAAGAAGTTCTTAATGAAGAGTTCGCTGGACGAGATTGACACGGCCGAGCCACTGAGGAGGGCCCTTCGACAACCCATGCAGTGCTGTATTCTGGAGTACCTGGCGGCATCGAAGCCGGCTCGTGATGAGTTACAGATGATCACGCAGAAGACTCGCATACCTCTATCGGAGGAGGGTCAGGGGCCCCTAAGGCGGAAGCTTCTACAGTAGCAGTAACGGGGGCGACTGCCAGAGCGGATCACATGGCGACCGTTCTTCTCGATGGAATGGAAGGTGTGCCTCCAGACAAGTTTAATATACTTGGTAGCGGAGCCATGGAGACGATTATAAATGATGGAGTGGTACTCGATGCTGTGATTGATAACGGCAGTGAGGCTGTCATCATAGACGAGGACCTGGCGGTACAAGTTGGACTGGGCCTCGATAGGTCATACCTATTCGAGATAGAGACGGCTGATGGGAGAAAGCAACGGATCACTGAAGTTTGTCACAAGGCAGCCATAGAGGTCCAAGGGGTACGAGTGACCCTGCCTGTCTTTGCAGTCAAGAACTGCAGCTCCGACCTGCTCTTGGGTCGAACGTGGCTGAGCCACGTGCATGCGGT